GTCTTAAATCTGTAACACACTTCTCTGGTTGGCTCTTGTGATTTCTAATTGACTTGGAGTGGGCTGGGGAGCCACACCCACAGATGTCAGGCAGACACTTCAGCTCCCGGGGTCACCACAGCCATTCCAAATTTGGAAAGGATACAAACCCAGTAACGGAGGTAACTTGGGGCAGAACAGTAATCTGAGATGCAGGCAGGGAGAGGGAGAAACAAATGAGACAGATGTGTGGGCAGAGCAGGGATGGTGTGGCTTAGAATTAAAACTCAGAGCACAGGGAGTGGAGAAAGGAAGGCTTCATGTGTGCCTTCTGACCTAGGACTCTGTCTCTCTCTGCCCTGGCTGGGCTGGTCCTCTTTCCCATGTGTGGAACCTCTGGCTCCTGTTTCTGTGCCCTACTTACCTGTTAGGCTGCCATTCTGGTCACCCAGCTGTTGCGTGTAACTTCAAATCAGTATTCAAATCTAGTTACATACTAGGCCAGTGATGGCGAACCTATGACACGCGTGTCAGAGGTGACACGTGAACTCATTTTTTTGGTTGATTTTTCTTTGTTAAATGGCATTTAAATATATAAAATAAATATCAAAAATATAAGTCTTTGTTTTACTATGGTTGCAAAGATCAAAAAATTTCTATATGTGACACGGCACCAGAGTTAAGTTAGTTAGGGTTTTTCAAAATGCTGACACGCCGAGCTCAAAAGGTTCGCCATCACTGTACTAGGCACTCAAATAAATACTTTCTGCTTATAAACGGTAAGCTCAGAATTTCTGAGCACCTGACAGTTTAGTTTCCACTGGCAGATACTTTAGCAGTGACCAATCTAAGAATAGAACCTAGGAATTACTGTTCCTGGTACCATAATGCATATAAACAATAGCCTTTAAACACAAATGCAAGGGATAAAAATTAAGCCATCAATGCTTTTTTATTATAAATGTTTTCTTTGGACTGACCACTGTGTACCAAGGACGCAGTGTGTGACAACAGGAGCCCTTACCCAGACAGTGTGTCTCCTTTCCCTGGTCTCTTTAGTCCCTGTTCCCCAGAACTGTAGCCACAGAGCCGCTCTCTCTATCCCGCCCACCACCCAGGGCCCCTCAGTCTGGGATGAGGCCCCATTCACCTGCCGGTGGTGCTGGGCTGCTTGCTGCTCCCTGTGCTGAGAGTTGTTCAGGAGCCCCGTGTGGTTATAATTGCTTTGCAGCACAAGGTCTTTGAAGCAACCACTTCTGTGCTGGTTTTAGGAGTGGCTGGTAGTTGCACTGCAGTAATTTTCCAGGCCACGGAGCCTGGTTTTGCCCCCCTAGTGCTGGGCTTTATGGAGCAGCGCAGCGCAGCCATCAGAGCAGAGTTTGCTTTGGAATGGGGCCTAGAGGCTGTTCTTGGAGTAGCTGCTCACTGTCTAGTTTTCTGCAAAGTTCCACCAGTTTCAAAATCTACCCTTTTATTTTCCATGAGCACTTTCCCTTATATTCAAGGGTAATGAGGTCTAAACGAGGCCAACCATACATTTTGCACTTTCAGACAATCCTCCTTTGACTCTGTGATCCACAATTAATATATTTATATGTTATGTGATATAAGCAAAACACTATTGGAAGAGGTGAAAATAGTTTGGGCTGAATATGTTATATATTCTGAGCAAAGCATGGCGGATAGATCTTTAAATGTTTACAGACTCTTAGGTTCTAACAAGTGCTGCTTTTAGTGTTCTAAGTATCCACAAGACAAGAAAGAACGAATATTATTTTTACCTTGTGATTTTTAGTATATAATTTATTTTTTATGCTAACTTTTTTTTTTTTAATTTCTTAACTACTAACCAACTTTTTAGAAAAGGGTGCAAATTGTCCTATGGTCCCTGGTTTTGTGTGTGTGTGTGTGTGTGTGTGTGTGTGTGTTTAACTTTTCATTGAAGTACCTTATATGTACAGAAAAATGCACATATAAGTGTACAGCTTGATGAATTTCCACAAACTGAGCATACCTATGTAATGAGCACCCCAGTGAAGAAACAGAAAATTACCAGCCCCCCAGCAGCCCACTTTGGGCTTCCTTTCAATCACTACCATAGCATAGGTATACTAACTGAGGAAGTGGCAAAGAAAGACCAAGGACCTAAATGCTATGAGATACAGCCCTGAGAAATGCTCCATTAGAGCTGCTGCAAGGACAGGATTGAGAAATATTGCTTATCCTGTGTATGAGAAATATTAGAAATAGCTACCTTCTCTTGAGCAATCAATTTGTTTTAATTTTTATTGGCTATGTAAGTTGTAAAACCACTCAGGCTTCTCCCTTTTTTGTTTTTGTTAATCCTCACCCAGGTATATTTTTTCCATTGATTTTTAGAGAGCGTGAAAGGGAGGGGTGAGGGTGGGGAGAGAGAAAGGGAGAGAGAGAGAGAGAGAGAGACAGACAGACATTGATTGGTTGCCTCCTGCATGTGCTCCAACTAGGGCCGGGGATTGAACCTGCAACCCAGGTATGTGCCCTTGACCAGGAATCGAACCCACAACCCTTCAGTGTGTGGGTCGATGCTTCTCCCTTTGTGTTGGTCATTAGAAAGCTTCAGAATTCAATTTATGGCTCATCTGGGGAAAAGGATAAAAGATTTTATGATCTATATTTTGGTATCAATTTTATCTCTATACCTTTATTTTTTGTTTCCCCCACAACTTCTTCTAGTTTATGTCACTTTATATTCTGTCCTTATAAGCCACTTTAATTTTTTTTTTAACCAAACCATGGCACAAAATAAATCAATAAAAGTGCTATTATTTACATAAAAATATGAAGGAGAAATTTACACTCATCTATAATCCCACTACTCTGACCAGAGATTGTTGAAAAAAAAAAGTATAATCAGTGATAACCAGGAATACCTTAAGAATTGCACATTAAAAAAACAAAGAAGCTCAAAAATCATTTTGTGTGTGTGTCTTAAGTTTATTTAGATATTGATAAATTTGAATGACATTAAAAAATAAATATCCACCTTCTGTATATGAAAAGAATATCAAAAGCTTGGAATTTACTGACAGATGTTGGGGCCTAAGCCACCTTTATTTTAAACAATGACATAAATACAAGGAAAATTCAGTAATCCTTGGGGCACCGCTGACATTACTGATGAAACAACCCAGGCAACTTGCCAGGAAGGCCAGGAAGCTCAAGCTTGTCCTGTGGGCCCCTACATCCCCCCCGCCCCCCGCCGCCCCCCGCCGACTCATGGGGACACTGTGAGCATGAATGTCTGTGGCCACTGCCCAACCTGTGGCTTATAGTCCCTTTACTAACAGATGAGAAAATAAACCCAAGGAAGAGCTATTACCTGCCTCTTCTACCCATTTCTTTTAAAGTGTTCTGTGGTGTGGAACAGAGGCTATGCTTCCATCCCACTCTAGCTGGTAGAATTGTGCTTTATGGTGTCAGGACCTGGGAGGAGGGCCCAAGGATAGGAAACGGAGAAAGAAAGGTCGGATGGGAATGGAGAAATGACATACCAGGTGACCAAGGATTTTATATATATAAATGTCCAAGAAATTGAGTGATGTGTATTTTTCAATTTTTATTTACTTTGCAAATCTTGAATGAATGCAGAGGTGATTCATTTTAAATGAAGTAAAATGTTTGTGGAGCATTTACTTTTTTTAATGGGGCACTAAGTGGGCTAAAAAGTATTGATGGTTCCTGGAAAAAATTAAGGAATTTGAAGACAGGGCACGGTTCAAATCCAAGTTCTACTACTACTCACCAGTTGCAAGACCTTGTATAAGGTACTTCTTCCTTTTCAAGACTCAGGTGCTTCATCTGGGTAAGAGGGTTATAATGTCCTCTCTATAGAGCCTTTCTTATAACTAGACTAGTGGCCCGGTACACGAGATTCATGCAGGGGAGGTGTGTGTGTCCCTCAGCCTGGCCTGCACCCTCTCCAATCTGGGACCCCCCCGGGGAATGTCTGACCGGAAGTTGGACATCCCTCTCGCAATCCAGGACCACTGGCTCCTTACCACTCACCTGTCTGATCGCCCCTAACCACTCTGCCTGCCGGCCTGATTGCCCCCAACTGCCACTTTCTGGCCTGATCACCCCTAACTGCCCCCCCTGCTGGCTCAATCGCCCCCAACTGCCCCCCCTGCAGGCCTGATAACCCCCAACTGCCCCCCCCCGTCTGCTTGCCTCCAACTGCCCCCCCCACCCTGATCGCGCCTAACCGCCGCAGCCTGCCATCATGGCTTTGTCTGGAAAGACGTCCAGAAGGTCTCCTGGTCTAATTAGCATATTACCCTTTTATTAGTATAGATAAGATTTAGTGAGCCTACCACATATTAAGTGCCCAATTAGATTTAACATAAAAGTAGCACATATTAGGAGCTCAGTGAATGCTGGTAGGAATTAGGGAATGGCTGGGCAGGCAGGAATGGATAGATATGTTTTTCAACTAGCCCTTTTGCCAATACTTTTTCAATTTCTCAGACCAAGACACAGCTATGCCCAGTTTCTTAGCAGTTTCCAGGCCATCCATGGTCAGCTCCTGCCACCAAATACACATTTCTTTTTATTTTTATTTTTGGTTAATCCTCACTCAAGGATATTTTTCCATTGATTTTTAGAGAGAGTGGAAGGGAGGGAGAAAGACAGAGAGAGAGAAACATCGATGTGAGAGAGACACATTGATTGGTTGCCTCCCTCGTGCCCCAGCCTTGGCCAGGATTAAGCCTGCAACCCAGGTATGTGCCCTTTACTGGAATCTAACCAGGGACCCTTCAGTCCACTGGCTGGCGCTCTATCCATTGAGCCAAAGCAGCGAGAGCCAAATACACATTCTTTAACCACTCTTTTCTCCTTGATGTTCAGCACTGCCTCCATCCATCCTTTCGGATTCTAGGTAAATATTTGCATTGGGGGGAAGGGCAGGTCAGAAGGCAAGGATTTTGCTGAGAATGAGAGAAGTTGGGGAATGTTCCATGTCACAGAAGCTCAGCAGTTGGGAAAAGCTAGCCTTTCTCTCTGCTGCATGCCTCTTAGTACTCGGAGGATTCCTGGGACTGGAAGGCAGGACACTGGGTAGGGATCTCAGTTTCAGGCCTATCTTTGTAACTGACTTGTGGAGGGTCCTTTTCTCTGGAGGGCTTTAGTTTCCATATTTTTGGAATGGGATTCTTCTTTCAGGGGTAGGTCAATCTTTGACATTCTGGCCCTGATCTTTCAAAACTCAGTTGCCTGAACTGAGAGGTGGCAGCAATCCCATGCTTCTGGCTACTTGGTCTCCAAGGTCATCTCTCACAACATGGTCTCCATACAAGCAGTTGCTTCAAAGATTAAAGGCCTCTCTGCTGAGATCTTCTTACAAATCCTCTGATCCACTCCTTTCCACCCTGCCTGCCAACCCAGGGTTCAAATGGACACATGCAGGCATGCACACATGCACCGCACCAACCAGCTGACCTCCTAACTGCTCACCACCACCTCTGAGCCAAAGATTGGCGGTGGGTGTGGGTTGCAATTTGGGGGGTGTGGGAGAGGAGGGAGGACATTGAGGATTTCTTCATGAACCAGGGACAAAGTCTTAATATATATTCTCAGTTCTTGGTTTTCTTTTTTTATTCCAGCTGAGTTGAAGTCCTGAGGAAAGGGTCAGGAAGATGAGGAGCACATCTCAGGCAGACTTCCACCAGCAGCGGCAGGGAAATTGCACAGACACAAAGAAATGGGAAAACGGAGAGAAATTGAGGGAGAGACATCTACCCCATTTTTTCATTTGATTCAATGCCTAGTTTTATTTGGCTCTATTTCAAACTTGGTTCTTTTAAAAATACTGTATTCTTTTGTTTTTAATAATTTAAAACTAATTTGTTGAATTATCTAAAGTTGTTAGTTGCCCCAAACTAAGAGGCTGCCAAAGTATTAGCATCTGCTTGCTGTTCTGACATTCACAACTTAATTTATTTGGCTCCTGAAAATTTCCCTTACATTATGGAGAGGTTAACTATGTAAATAAAGAGAAGTATGTCAGATTTTATATGTACCATTTCTTAGTATTTTGCTGTATTTCTCAAAAAAGTTCTTTTAAAAAATATATATTTCTTTATTGATTTCAGAGAGGAAGGGAGAGGGAGATAGAAACATCAATGATGAGAGAGAATCATTGATTGGCTGCCTCCTGCACGCCCCCTAATGGGGATTGAGCCCTCAATCCAGGCATGTGCCCTTGACTGGAATCGAACCCAGCACCCTTGAGTCCATAAGCTGACGCTCTATCCACTGAGCCAAGTTGGCTAGGGCTGCTTAAATTTTTAAGGCCCTCTCCAGCTCCAGTAGTCTATGATCATTGGTGTGTGTGTGTGTGTGTGTGTGTGTGTGTGTGTGTGTCTAATCCAGGGGTGGGCAAACTTTTTGACTCGAGGGCCACAATGGGTTCTTAAACTGGACCGGAGGGCCGGAACAAAAGCATGGATGGAGTGTTTGTGTGAACTAATATAAATTCAAAGTAAACATCATTACATAAAAGGGTACGGTCTTTTTTTTTTTTTTTTTTTAGTTTTATTCATTTCAAACGGGCCGGATCCCGCACGGCTGGAATCAAAGGTGAATATTTCCATTGGAGGAATATAGCATAAGCTAAGTAAAAGTTTAGGGAACACAAATGTTGTAGTGCAGAGACTCATACAGTATGAAGGAGATGAGGTTAAAAAGGTGGTTGTGACACCTTGGAGTGTCGAGTGACAAACTACTGAGTGTGGGCTTGGTAGAGAGAGCAACATAAACTTTTTAAAGCAGGGATTTGGTATAATAGAAGGCAGGGTTGTCTTATATCCACTGATCTAATTCCTCAGACATTTATTGAACACCTTTTATGTCCTAGGAATTATGATTATAGGTAGGTTAAGTTGTTGTAAGTTTGCAGGATGGCTTGGAGATAGGCCACTCAGGTGGTTATTGCAGTGACCTAAGGTGTGGGTGAGGAGTGCATAGCTGAGAAGGGTGTCGGAAGAAAACAGAGCTGTCAAAGACAGAAGTGACAGTTGGACAGTAGAGTTTATATACGTAGAGGCGAAAGAATACTCAAATTCTGGGTTTCACACATGGTTCCCTGGCTATATTCTGCCATGATCATTTTAATTAAGGGCTATTTTGAAAACCCAGCATCACAAAAATGTTCTCGGGGGAAAAAAAGTGCTTTCATTTCTCTTTACACTTTCCTCTCTGGACCTTGGATACATAGGGACTAGGAGATAGGGACTAGGCACTTATACATACTTAATGAGCACTCGGATGTGCCAGGCAGTGTTGTAGGAATTAGGGACATAGAAGGGAACCAGAAACTTAAAGGCTTTACTTTCACGGAGCTTATATTTCATGAGGAAAAGACAGATAATAGACACATAAAAAAAGATAATTTCAGATGGTGATGAGTTTTTGGAAGAAAATGAAATATGGTAATGGCACGAAGTTTCTGGATGGAGGGGTAAGAGAAAAGACTAGCTTGGAGAGTGAGGGGTCTCTCTGAGACGGGATTCCCTAAAATAGGTAATTTAGGGATAAAGGACACAATTAAGGATTAAGCACGAACTGAGTGTCAGGATTACTAGTACCTCAGGAATTCAGAGCATGGGAGCTGAGTAGAAGAGGGAAAAAATGTAGAACGGGGTCATTGCTCATATCAGGATGAGCATCTCCTTCCTATCGCCTCCTATTGTCCTGAAAACAATGCCCTTCTTCACCTCCCTGGCAGGAATAGAGTCTGCCTCAACTCCACTGGGAGTACCAGAGAAAGGTACTAGCCAGGGGCTCTGGCTGAACCTGAGGAGAAGCAAGGCTGGTTGTTTTCCTCATTATAAACTTGGATCTCAAAACCAGGATGGGGGGAGAGGGTGGATTATTGACAGCCCTGTTGAAATTAACTCTGCTCCCCCTTCCCTCACAGCATTTTTTTTGTACCTCCATTAGTGCACTTATCAAAGTCTGCCTTGCATCAGAGTTATTTATGTCTGTTTGTCTTCCCCCACGAGGTTGTGAATTTCTAGAGTGCTGGACCTGGGCATTCTTTCCCCTTTTATCATCCTGGTGCAGGGACTTTTTTATACCTTTATGGCTTACATGCTCTTATAGAATTTGATGAAGAAACTGTGGACTCTCTCCCCAGGAATTTGCCTGCCCACTCATATATTTTGCATGCTACTTCGGGGAGATTCACAGGCCCCTGACACCTATCCATGGATCCCTAGTTAAGAACTCTGCCTAAGTGCTTTGCCCAATACTTGGTACATGGTAGGTTCTCAGAGTTTGATTTACTTGGGGATGTCCTCCCAATTAAGTCTCTTTACTCTAGTTGTAGGGCAGAGATGTTAGGTGGGAGAAAGAGAGCCAGGAAGCAGTCCCTCTGATAGGAGATGCAGAAGAGTATGTGTAAACTTTGAAATTAACCATCCAGTGAGCAATAGCTTCACCCCCACTTCTTGTCCATGGAGAACCTGAGTTGGGGTCTACCTACTTTGGGCTGGTCTTCTCTCAGATTCTTTTAAAAAAAAGTTTTTATTGGTTGTAGAGAGAGAGAGAGGAAAGGAGAGAGAGAGGGAGGGGGAGAGAGAGAGAAACATCCACAAGAGAGGGAAACATCCATAAGAGAGAAACATCAACATCGATTGGCCTCCTGCACACTTCCTAATGGGGATCGAGCCCATAACCCGGGCATGTACCCTGACTGGGAATCGAACTGGTGACCTATTGGTGCATGGGTCAACGCTCAACCACTGAGCCACACTGGCAGGGCTTCTCTCAGATTCTTCTTTGTTTTTAATTAAAAAATGTATTTTTTATTGATTTCAGAGAGGAAAGGAGAGGGAGAGAGGGCTAGAAACATCAATGATGAGAGAGAATCATTGATTGGCTGCCTCCTGCACGCCCCACACCAGAGATCGAGCCCACAACCTGGGCACGTGCCCTGATCGGGAATCAAACTGTGACCTCCTGGTTCATAGGTCGCTGCTCAATCACTGAGTCATACCAGCTGGGCTCTCTCAGATTCTTGAATGCTGCTCTCCAGTGTCATGATATTCCTTTTTTTTTTTTAAACATATTTTATTGATTTTTTACAGAGAGGAAGAGAGGAATAGAGAGTTAGAAACATTGATCAGCTGCCTCCTGCACACCTCCTACTGGGAATGTGCCCGCAACTAAGGTACATGCCCTTGACCGGAATCGAACCTGGGACCCTTCAGTCCGCAGGCCCACGCTCTATCCACTGAGCCAAACTGGTTAGGGATCATGATATTCCTTTTGCTTGCCTTTCAAAACTGCCCGTCATTCCATCTCTTCCCTGAAGCTGCCTTTAATTATTTCAGTCCCAGCTGACCTCACTCTTTTTGGAAGTTTTGTTGCACTTAAGTGGTCTGAAACTCACAGTTGACTTTTTTTTATTATTATTTTTTAGATATTTTCTTCTACTTCATCTGGGTTGGTCTTGTGTACTCCAACTAGGTTGTTTAGACAAGCCAAAGATGGCTCTAAGGCAGTGGTCGGCAAACTGGCCCCTTGAGTGTGGCTCTTCCACAAAATACCACGTGCGGGAGCACACGTACAGTGTGATTGAAACTTCGTGGCCCATGCCACAGGGCCAAAGAGCCGCATGTGGCTCGCCAGCCGCAGTTTGCCGACCACTGCTCTAAGGTATTGGTCATGGCTGTTTGCTCCCCACAAGCATTGATGGCGTGCTTGGAAGAGACAGGTAGCTAACTTAGAGTTGAGTCTGCACAGCCTTCACTGTGCCCATCCTTTCTGCCTTAATGTCTGAGATTGCTGTTGTGTCCGCCATTCCATCTGGTAATGTCTTTTACTCTTCTTTTTTTTAAAATACATTTTTATTGATTTCGGAGAGGAAGGGAGAAAGAGAGATAGAAACATCAATGATGAGAGAGAATCACTGATCGAGCTCTCAACCACAACTGGGGCATGTGTCCTGACCAGGAATTGAACTGTGACATCATGCCTGGTTCATGGGTGGCTCAACCACTAACCCACACCAGCTGGTCTACTCTTCCTTTTCTTTCTTCATCATAACATAGTGGTCAAGAGCAAGTCTCTAAAGTCAGGCTACCTGAGTTTGAATCCCAGTTCCAATGCTTGGTAAGCTGGGCCTCCATCAGCAGATTCCTGAGCCTTAGTTCCTTGTCTGTAAAATGGGAATAGTAACGGTAGCTACTTCACTGGGTTTCTGTTGTAAATTACGTGAAATAACGCATATAAATGACTTAGAATGGTTCCTGATACATAATGTTTAATAAATATTAGCCACTATTATTGTTTATTATCATTTAACCAGCTTTTAGAGCCCCGTTTTTCTCTCTGATTGGTTTTTGGATATTGCCTTTTACAAAGAATCCTAGGACAGGAATGGATCTCAGAGATTTAAAAAATCTATGATGGAAAATATCTGCATTTAAAAAAAATGATTTTAGAGAGAGAGGAAGGGAAAGGGAGGGGGAGAGAGAGAAACACTGGTGGGCTGCCTCCTGCAGGGGATCTAGCCCACAACTCAGGCAAGTGCTGTGATCGGGAATTGAACCAGTGACCTTTTGGTGCATGGGACAGTGCTTAACCAACTGACCCACACCGTCAGGGCAATACCTGCATTTCTTATTCCAGGCCAATGGCAGACATCTCCAATAGAACTGATCCCAGATACAGTCTCAATCTTTCTCAAATAGCTTGCCATGCAGTCACTACAAATGGATTTGAGTTGACTCTTAAAGTACATTAAAATATATCTGTTTGCCCAGCCTCCTGATTTTACCAATGAAGAGTGTAAGGCCTAGAGAGTGTTAGGCAACCTGCCTAGAGAGTGCTGGGCTCAGCACTCCCCATGCTTTGGCAGTGCTCTTTACAGCACGCTGCACCATTGCCATCATGCCATTGCTCATTCCCTTTTTGTTTGCTAAGAATGCTTCTTTCAATGTCTGAGTTTCACGAGGCCCCCTTTTTCTACCCGCCCAAGCAATCTGACATGCATATAACCTGTATTCA